GTAGTAGTAGTAGTAGTAGTAGTAGTAGTAGTAGTAGTAGTAGTAGTAGTAGTAGTAGTAGTAGTAGTAGTAGAACTAGTAGTGGTAGTAGTAGTAGTAGTAGTAGAACTAGTAGTGGTAGTAGTAGTAGTAGTAGAACTAGTGGCAGTAGTGGTAAAGTAGCGGTAAAAGTAGTGGTCTTAGTAGTAGTAGTAGTAGTAGTAGTAGTAGTAGTAGTAGTAGTAGTAGTAGTAGTAGTAGTAGTAGTAGTAGTAGTAGTAGTAGTAGTAGTATAACTAGTGGTAGTAGTAGTAGTATAACTAGTGGTGGTAGTAGTAGTAGTAGTAGTAGTAGTAGTAGTAGTAGTAGTAGTAGTAGTAGTAGTAGTAGTAGTAGTAGTAGTAGTAGTAGTAGTAGTAGTAGTAGTAGAACTAGTGATGGTAGTAGTAGTAGAACTAGTGGTGGTAGTAGTAGTAGTAGAAGAACTAGTTGTATAGTAGTGGTAAAGTAGCGTAGTAAAGTAGTAGTAGTAGTAGTAGTAGTAGTAGTAGTAGTAATAGTAGAACTAGGGGTGGTAGTAGTAGTAGTGGTAGTAGTATTAGCAGAAGAACTAGTGGTAGTAGTAGTAGTAGTAGAACTAGTGGTGGTAGTAGTAGTAGTAGTAGTAGTAGTAGTAGTAGTAGTAGTAGTAGTAGTAGTAGTAGTAGTAGTAGTAGTAGTAGTAGTAGTAGTAGTAGTAGTAGTAGTAGTAGTAGTAGTAGTAGTAGTAGTAGTAGTAGTAGTAGTAGTAGTAGTAGTGGTAGTAGAGCTAGTGGTGGTAGTAGTAGTAAAGTAGTTCTAATAGTAGTGGTGGTAGTAGTAGTTGAACTAATGGTGGTAATAGCAGTATTAGTAATAGTGGTGGTAGTAGTAGTATTAGTAATAGTGGTGGTAGTAGTAGTATTAGTAATAGTGGTGGTAGTAGTAGTATTAGTGATAGTGGTGGTAGTAGTAGTATTAGTAATAGTGGTGGTAGTAGTAGTATTAGTAATAGTAGTGGTAGTTGTTTAAATTTAACCTGTGTCGTATTCAACACATCTGAGTTCTAAATAGGATATATGGTCGTTGGCTTTTTTTAAACCTAAATTACCGATATTAGATATTTATATCCAGTGGGAGCAAGTTTTTGGCCTACTTATAAACTTTTGTCTTGTTTTATATATACTGAAAAATGACACGCATTGCAATGCCCCGAGTACATTTATGTTAGTTATTGATTGATTGATTGATTGTATCATTCATTCACTATTGCAGTCAGTACAACAGCTGGACCTTGGACAACGACATAGCCGTGTTCAGACTGTCCACTCAGGCACCAACCAACAATTACATCTCCGCCGTCTGTCTTCCCAACGAAGGATGGTCCGAAGGCGAGAGGGCAATCGTTGCTGGCTGGGGTACATTGACCTCAAGTAAGTGATTAACTGCTAGATTAAAGAACCTATCACAAGAAAGGGCATTGCCAGCTGGCGTAGGCGTTCATGCGTCTCCACAAATCTCGGTCAGTGGTGTTCTGGATCAATTCTACTGATGATATTTCTACATGCCACTGTCTTAAACCATCCATCAACTTTACTCTTGGTGTGCCTCTTTTACCAGTGATCTTTCCAGTCGTCACGATATTTTCCAGTGCTCCTTTTCTCATCACATGACCAAAGAACTTTGTCTCCTTCAAATGGTTGCAAATAATATTCTACTTTCATTAGCAGTCTCCAGACAATAATTGTTAGTTATTTTGGCAGTGCAAGGTATTTACAACTATCTTCTCAAGAATCCATCCCATTTGCCTCCAAACTTTCCTAATCTGTTTGCTCACATTCCAAGATTCACTGCCAAACAACAGAACAGGTTCCGTGTATGATTTCAGTATTCGTTTTCTAATGTTGATTGAGAGTGATTGATTACATAAGATAAATTTGATCACCTAAAATGCTGCCTTTCCCTGATCGAATCTGCTCTTTATTTATGTTACAAATCGACCATATGATGTTGTGAATGTCCCCAAATATTTGAATTTATTGACTTGATTAAGCACTTTCCCTTCTATTGCTATGTCACATGTTGGAGTTATCTTCTTCTTTGATACCATTGTTTCTGTTTTCTAAATATTCATAGGATGTCTACAGTGTCTAACAGTTGTTGTAGGTCTTCTTGGTTTTTAACTTATTATACTGTATCATCTACATAACGAAGGTAGTTTACAGTATAACCTCCAACTAGTGTTCCTTGTCTATCCTTGATCTCCCTCATTATTATTTCACTATACAGAGAGAAGATATTCGGTGACAAAACACATCCTTGTCTCACTCCTTGCTTTACCTGTTCATAACTGCCTACTTTATTTACCAGTTAAATTGCTGCTTCTTGCTTCCAGTAAATTGTTTCTTTATTATTTTGAGATCTTTTGTTTACATCAATGAAAAAAACTAAGGATGACTGATTTTATAATTGTATATAATTGTAAAATGTAACAACCTTTGGTTTGATAGTGGGCTGAAATTAAGTTTGTGTAAAAAGTTTGTCACCAACATGAAATCAGCCAGTAAATCAACCAGGTGCCCTCTCCACAATGAAGGTCGGCTGCAATAGATCTCCAACACGCTCTGTTTCGTGCCTTGGTTGTAGTTTCTCTCAGACTTTGTTCGCCCATCTTTTGATGTTGCCCTCCCACCTGTCTCGTTAGATAGCTCTCCTGCCCTCGACTTTTTTTTTTTTCTCTCCAGTAGGGTTTTTACAAGTGTTGTCTGGTAATGTGTCCGAAAGCTTGAAGATTCTTGAACTTACATCAATAAGCTGCCTCGGGAAAGATGCATGATCTCAAATGATCTTGTTACTGCCATCTACATTTAAGAAGGCAAGGAGGGGTGAGGTTTGGGGAGGGGTGGGAGTTGTAGATGTTTGATGGTCTGAGAAACAATTTTTCCCGGTTTAGTCAGTCCTGGGATGTTAAAAGGTTGAAGAACATTGCATTCGACGCAGCTAACTCAAAGTAATGATGCCACAGGTGGTTCCGCTCCCTACAAACTACATCAGGTGAGCAAGCCTATCAAATCCAGGGCCACCTGCCGACAGAGATACGGAGCCTCGTCCATCACCGACCGGATGCTCTGTGCAGGTCTACCAGAGGGTGGTATTGACTCTTGCCAGGTAAGTCGTCTGCTTTTCTTTGCCTTTTTTTAAAGTTTTGGGGTCGGTGGGGATTATTGAGAGTGTCCCCCCCACCCCCCGGTAAACAGTGATGCCTCTCAATTTTTTCTCAACTAATAGTGAAGTCCCATGCCCTTCTCTCGGAAACAAAGTCCTATGCCCTTCTCTCGGAGACAGGTCCATGCCCTTCTCTCGGAGACATAGTTCCACGACCTTCTCTCGGAGACAGTCTCATGCCCTTCTCTCTTAGACAGTCCCTTGCCCGTCTCTCAGAGACAGAGTCCTACGACCTTCTCTCGAAGACAGTCCCATGCCCTTCTCTCGGAGACAGTCCCATGCCCCTCTCTCGGAGACAGGTTCCATGCCCTTCTCTCGGAGACAGTCCCATGCCCCTCTCTCGGAGACAGTCCCACGACCTTCTCTCGGAGACAGTCCCATGTCCCTCTCTTGGAGACAGTCTCATGCCCTTCTCTCTTAGACAGTCCCATGCCCCTCTCTTGGAGACAGTCCCATGCCCTTCTCACGGAGACAGTCCCATGCCCCTCTCTCAGAGACAGTCCCATGCCCTTCTCACGGAGACAGTCCCATGCCCCTCTCTCAGAGACAGTCCCATGCCTCTCTCTTGGAGACAGTCCCATGCCCCTCTCTTGGAGACAGTCCCATGCCCCTCTCTTGGAGATAGTCCCATGCCCCTCTCTCAGAGACAGTCCCATGCCCCTCTCTTGGAGACAGTCCCATGCCCCTCTCTTGGAGATAGTCCCATGCCCCTCTCTTGGAGACAGTCCCATGCCCCTCTCTCAGAGACAGTGACACTGCAGAACCTTCTGTAGCATTTTTGGCTGTTTAACTAGGCTATTTTATGTTCATTAGTTTGCCAACCAGAACAGAATGGGAGCTATTAGTCTAAAAACACTTTGAGACATAATCAGGAAGAGATCGGAGCACTTATGGTCGATGAAGATTCTCTCAACAATTAACAATAAACAGTAGTTTGCCGTCGCCTCTGCGCAGTAGATTATCGATGTCGTTGTTGAAATTACGCAGAGTTAAAGGTAAGTTGCGCAACCTTTACAGGACGTTGCAGAACCAACCCCAACAGCACCTGGCTGTTGTGTGGTTTCTCTAGGCAAATTTACGTCCTAGTAGTTTGCCATTGCTTTTTGGACTGTCGGCCCCCCCCCCCTGATCCTACTGTTGAAACCAACTCAAGGCGCATGGACCACAGCTGGGATCGAACCCAGCATCCCGGCATTACGAAGCGTTCGCATCGACTTAGCCACAGAGCCGACTATGCAGAGTAATCTTGCTAAATCGTCTGCAACTGGAAGCGAACCGGTTACCTTGGAATTAAGAAGCGTGTTCGGAATGCCTACAGTGGTGTAGTTATGCACGTGTAAACCTGTGAAGTCGGCGTCTGTAGATTAGGCTTCGTAATGCTGAGGTTCCGGGTTTGATCCCAGTTGCAGGCCTTGCGTTGGTTTCGACAGTGGTATCGAAAAGCCAACTGTCCAGAAAACAATGGCAAACTACTGGACGCAAACTTGCCTAGAAAAACCACAACAGCCACACACACAAAAAAAACCAATGCTGGTGTTGGTTCTGCAACGTCCTGTAAAGGATACGCAACTTACTTTAGCTTTAAACATGTGAAATGTCAGTATTGTAAATATTAAATGTTATAGCATTCTGGAAGAAAACAAAACAGCTGTGCTAATCCGTTAAACAAGATGGAATTGACAATTTACGTTCATCATCATGTGCCGTGCCTGTAAGCGAAGGCTGTCATGTTTCGCTATCTCACACGATCACCAGAATCACGGATCAGTTCACTGTTTTTGTCTCGTCCCATGCACCTGACCAGGCCATCCAAGCATTTATCTCCTTGCTTTCCTCTTGCTCTCTTTTTCATCAGTATGTGTTTCGTTCAGCCCCACCAGGACCGTACAACGAGCAATCAACGCCAAGTGACACAAAGTGCCACCATTTGGATGAGGATCACCTGGACACATGTCCCAGAAACCCCGCTCAACTGTTAGGTTATATTAGGGCCCCCGACAACAGTGGGGGTGGGGATTTAAAATAAAAAATTGCGTCCCACATTAGGTTAGTTGCGTATCCTTTACAGAACGTTGCAGAACCAACCACAACAGCCCCTGGCTGTTGTGTGGTTTTTCCAGGCAAATTTACGTCTAGTAGTTTGCCATTGCTTACTGGACGGTCGGCTTTCTCAATACCACTGTCGAAACTAACGCAAGGCGCATGAATCGAACCCGGCATCCCGGCATTACATCAACTTACCCACATTAGGACGGGGTTTTATTTTAAGGCTGACGAACGATTTCCGTCTATGTGGCCATTGTTACCAAGTTCTTGAGTTCATTCCTTCTCAATTTGCCCTACAAACAGAGAATTATGTAAACCTTATGCTTACGGGAAAATAAACATATGGTGAACATTTATACACATTAGTGTGCTGTGAATGGAAGTTAGGTAGGTAGTCGATAGTGGCACAGTTAAGCGCTGTGCTCAGAAAGTTAAGGCTTCAGAAAGGGAAGTGACGGGCTGTGAAAACCTTAAGGACCTCAGTCCATGGACTGTAACATAAATCCTTTAGGTTTGTGTTATGATACAAAAGACCCCGTCTCATTGCTACATGCCTGGGAATGAAGTGGTTGATATTTTTTGCAAAGAAAGATTGAAAAACTACATCATCTTGATAAAGACAAAACCTTTGATTTCACAATCCTGCTGCAGTACAGAGATTTGTCACCCTACCTTACTATGTTCTCACCTCGTATGTGTGACGATTTAATACTTCACAAACCCACAGCCACATCCCTCATCTGACTTTTGACTATTTTTCAGGGTGACAGTGGTGGCCCTCTGTACACATACAGAGAAAACAGGTGGACTCTGACCGGTAAACATTTATTTGCTATTGTTATATCTGTTCTTTAGTACCATCAGGAAGAACTGGCTCGTACACAGCATTCTCTCTCCAAAGCTGGAGTATTTTGGACATGTCAAGCGCCACGGTGGTCTTTGGAGAACGGCGATGGAGGGTGAGGTGCAGTTTGCGGAAAAAACGAGACAGAGGGCGACCACAGCGAACCTGGACGCAGGTCACTCACGATGCATTAGCTATGAAAGCACACATAGCTGGAAAATTGGCTAGAGAGAGAGAGAGAGAGAGAGAGAGAGAGAGAGAGAGAGAGAGAGAGAGAGAGAGAGAAAGGGAGAGAGAGACTTTCATGCGTGCCGTGAAGTGAGCAACGTTCTGTAAAGGACATGCTGACTGATTATTTATGCAGTATAACCAAGTGGTTAGCACGTTGAGCTCTCATTCAGAAAATGTGGATTCGAATCTTGGGTAAAATTATGGCAGTTGCAACTGCCAGGACAGAGGTGAAACGCCAGACACATACAGGAAAAACACGACACTGGGCTACAACCTGGCATCAGTGAGACGACAAAAAGAAGAAGAAGAAAAAGAAGAAGAAGAAGAAGAAGAAGAAGAAGAAGAAGAAGAAGAAGAAGAAGAAGAAGAAGAAGAAGAAGAAGAAGAAGAAGAAGAAGAAGAAGAAAAAAAAAATAAGAAAATCAAGAGAATCTGGTGGCTGAGTTTGGTTGTAAGGGTCTTGTCATTGTTGACATTCTTGACTTCCGTTTCAAGTTTGTCCTAGTCTTGTTCAAAGAAAGGAAGGAGCGTACTAGATCTGAAAGATGTGGAAATTAAGGTTCTGTAAGAAAGAAAGAAAGAAAGAAAGAAAGAAAGAAAGAAAGAAAGAAAGAAAGAAAGAAAGAAAGAAAGAAAGAAAGAAAGAAAGAAAGAAAGAAAGAAAGAAAGAAAGAAAGAAAGAAAGAAAGAAAGAAAGAAAGAAAGAAAGAAAGAAAGAAAGAAAGAAAGAAAGAAAGAAAGAAAGAAAGAAAGAAAGAAAGAAAGAAAGAAAGAAAGAAAGAAAGAAAGAAAGAAAGAAAGAAAGAAAGAAAGAAAGAAAGAAAGAAAGAAAAGAAAAGAATATATAAAGGGGAGGGGGGAGGACTTCTCTAATGACATAGAGGGGTATCAACACATAAAAATAATACTCGATGTTAGAGATTGCATGATGTAGAAAGGTATGCTCGCCCAAAGAAGTCGGCAAGGAACTTAATAATAATAAGGAGAATATTTTCTTCTTACCAAGAGATAACCAGTTATAATTACTAATTGTATATTTGCAAATATTTCCAGGTATAGTGAGCTGGGGCTATGGCTGCGCAGAAGCCGGCAGACCAGGTGTGTACGCTGATGTCTTCGCTTTGAAAGCTTGGATTAACACATACATAAACGTTTAACTTGACCGAAATGGCTTTAGCAGCTTCCAAGTCAAAATCTGGCCGCAATCACGTGATTGAAGAATACCTATTGCCAGCGGTAGTATAAAAACCTTGACTGAATAGATAACAGCTTAAATATCACTTGTGTGTTTCATTCTAAAAAATAATGAACACCTAAATATCATTTTGTGAAATTACAATGGTGATATGAAAAACTGAAAAGGGCTGGGTAATAACAAATTTAAAAAAATTTATTCTGTAACTGATCATGCATTTAAAAGATCCTAATAAAGAATCTTATATTTCAAACTGTTGCTGTGTTCATTTGTTTGTCTTCTTTCCCCCCACCCCCCCCCCCTTTTTTCCTTCCCTTTCCACCCTTCCTCATCCTACACTCCTCCGCTTTCTTCATCATCTGTCTTCTTCTTCTTCTTCTTCTTCTTCTTCTTCTTCTTCTTCTTCTTCTTCTTCTTCTTCTTCTTCTTCTTCTTCTTTTTCTTCTTCTTCTTCTTCTTCTTCTTCTTCTTCTTCTTCTTCTTCTTCTTCTTCTTCTTCTTCTTCTTCTTCTTCTTCTTCTTCTTCTTCTTCTTCTTCTTCTTCTCCTCATCCTATTTTTTCAATCTTCATAATCTTTATCATCAGCATTGTCATCTTTTTCTTCTTTGTCATAATCATTTTCATTTTTTTTTCTTCTTCTTTTTCTCCTCATCCTCCTCTTTTCATCATCATTATTACCACCATCAAATGCCAGAAGTTGGAGCGCGAGTCGGACCTATGTGCTACTTGAGTCACGTGACTAACGACTGGCGACTCGACCTGGGGTTTCGACCAGCGACTTGTGACTGGACTTGCGACTGCTAGCTAGCGTTGACGACTTGGTACGGCTCGTTTTTCACGGACAGCGACTGTGAGGTTTTGTGATTAATGTCACAATTTGAAACGTCTATATATAAAACAGGAAATTATAAATTATTTTTCTATTTATCAAGTTTTTGCATTCGGCATTTTTCGCTTTTATGTAAAATTCTGTTAATATTTGGCACTGCAAAACACATTAACGCTTCAAGGAAACACATTTGTTAAGAAATCTCCGTCTGAAAATGGTTTTTAATTCTTGTCGATTTTTATAAACATTTTGTTTTTTCCACTAACGAGAAAGCTAAAACGAACAACATTCTCTGAATATTTATTTGTTTCGAAAAAAAATCATTCTGCAGACGTTCCAAAAATTTCTTAAATTTAGCATTTTATTTTGCCTTTCTTTTCTTCTTCTGTGGAATAATAAAGGAAGTAAAAGGGAACTGTGCTAATTACAGAGAAATATCGCTTCTCACACTGGGAAAATGTATGCTGAGATCTTTGAAAAAAAGGCTAAGACCATTGACAGAGTATCAACTTTCAGAAGCACTGATGGGCTTTTGTCGAAACAGAAGTTGCACAGATGTCATTTATACATTGAGACAACTATCAGAGAGGGCAATAGAACTCGATAAGACATTTTTGTTGACATTCATACACCAGGAAAAAGTCTTTGATAGAGTCGACAGGAATCACTTGTGGGAATTTATGGTTAAAAAGGAAGCAGCAATCATCTTATTTAAATTGCGAAAGCCTGTACACACGTAGTAAATGCTGCATAAGATTGAAGATAGGATTGTCAAGAACTTTTATGGCGAACTCTGCGTCGTGGCTGAGTACCACTTTTTTCAACATACATGGAAGGAAACGAACTATAATCATGAAGAAGATATTACAGAATTACTATTCGTGACGACCAGGTACTCATAGCAGAAAGTACGGAATGCTTACAGAACCACCCAAATCAAATTAATAACAAAGGGGATAAAAGAATGTGAAGGAAAAAAAAACGAAGACAGAGACAAAGGTGATAGGAAGACGGAAAGACAATTTAGAAATAAAATTAAAAAACACCTCAAGACAAACAGAGGAATTTAAGTATTTTGGGATAAATTTTCACATCCAGATAAAACTGGACAGAGAAAAACTGGCTCGAAATGTGCCAAAGCTAATTAGGTAATGGGGCAACTATCTCCCTTGTTGACATACCAGCAAATACCTCTGAGTACTAATATGAACCTTATCAAAAATATTTTTTGGCCAAAACTATGCTATCTGTGCCAAACGTGGACACTTACATCCTCTAATAAAGTTAAAATTGTGACAACAGAGATTAAATGCATTAGAAGAGCTGCAGGAGTTTCAAGGAAAGACAAAATACGAAATCAGACGAATGCTAGGAATAAAGCCAGTCCTACAGGTCAACAAAGAACAACAAATTAAGTGGTTTGGACACCTAGCAAGAATGCCCTAGCAGCACTATCTGCCACAGCGAACCTCACTGAAACGTTACAACGGGTATAGAGAGAGCGGAAGACCTCGAAAAATGTGGAGTGATGGCATTGAGAACAGCCTTACAGAAATAAACATCAATCCAAAAGAAGAGGAAGAAGAAGAAAAAGAAGAAGAATTTCGCCTTTCTTTTCTCTGCAGTGAACTGTAGTTTTCATGCTTGGATTCGTAATATTTTCTTTAATCCTGAAACAGTATCTTTACACGTTATACAAAATGATTTGTCTTTCTTTAGAATAAGATGCCACAGGCACGTTCTATTTACAGATACTACAGCCATCACTGCATAAATAGAAAATTATTCACATATTTTCATAAATCACTTTGCAAACGCATGGAGAAAGTTTGGAGTCGTCATCAGTCCCAGCAAAACGCAGGTGATGGTGGTGAATATGGCAAACGCACTAAGCATTACTATGAGCTGCTAGCTCTACACTAAAGTTCAGTACCCAGGTTCTCGATTCGCAGAAGTACTTTCCCTAGACACAGAACTAAAAAGACGAACAGGAAAGGCGTCAGCAAACTTTGCAAAGGGTGTGGTCAAACAAAAAGCTGACGCATAGGATCAACATTAAAGTTCATAAAGCTTGCACCATGGGCACTCTCCTTGACAGCAAAGAAACCAGGTCTCTGTAGACTATTACAGAAAAGACATTGAATACTTTCTACATGCCTTGTGTGAGAAGCATCATTGGTACATCATGGTGAGACTTTGTCCCCAACGAATATGTACTGCGCAAAAATAACTGCGGTAGCAGTCGTCCCCATGTGGGAGCTAAATGTAGCTGGGCCTGAAATGTGGCCTAACGGCTGAAGGGGGTTTCTGGGACCACTCCACGGGTGATCCTTATCCACATGGTGGCACTTTGTGTCATCAGGTGTTTATCGCTTATGTGATGTACTGGTGGGGTACAACTTACCTACATACATGCATACATACATACATACTGCGGAAAGCCAACGAATATGAATCAGTGCAACAATAAAGTCAATTACCAGGAATTGTATTTACAAGATAGGTTTCAAATGTTGAACTGTTTATTAGTAAATTATGTACCAGTGACATGGAGGCCTGACCTAACATCTCGAATATAAGCATCACTCTATTTTCCATAAACATTTTCCAATAACATTCTGCTGCTTGCACGTACATGCTTACGGTATTTCACGGTCGGTCAACTGTCCAAGCATTAGAACTTAGTTGGCAGATCTTTCTCTCTAGCGGACAATAGCTCTTGCTAACGTATACACTCCTTCACTATTAGGTTAACTGTTCATACATCTGGACATCTCTTGTAAACTTTTTCACTAAAGGTCAACTTGTCAAACAAAAATAATGATTGGCCAGCGACACAACTTTCACAATTTGGAAATTCTTTCACTGTTCATAAAACGGGTCATCTTATCAAATATTTCACTCCTTGCCAGTTTTTTTTTTTTTCGTGTCAGTTAAGTGTCAGAGAAAACTGCGGTTACAACAGATACGTTAGGTAATGGTCACATATTTTTTTTTTTTTTTTTACATATTGTAATGTTCTTTGAATTTTCAAATTCTAATTTATAACTTATTGTTTCCCCCTAATTTAAACCATCTAGTGAGCGACACTATTTTTTTTTTTTAAATACAACATACAACACTAATGGGGAAGCAAATCTGCATACTTGATCATATACTATCTCTACATCACCATCTTGAGGGATTGATGTGTGTGGTATTTTTTTCCCCTTATACAGAGCCAAGGTAGGCTCAACGCCTTATATCCTTCTATAAAGGCCTTTAAGGAACAACCAACAGTCTGGGGTTGAAATTCTCATTTTCCTTATATAAAATCATTAGTTACAACCAAGAACATTAACTCTTTCTGTCCCGAGTAATGCACTATGCGTGACTGGGTATTATTGGTATGTACCAATTATCATGACATGTGTGTTTTGTTTTTTACAACTTATAAATATTCAGAACTCTGAACATATCTGTTTCCGGCGAGGATGGTATATATATATATATATATATATATATATATATATATATATATATATATATGTGTGTGTGTGTGTGTGTGTGTGTCCTCTCTAGAAGTAATATACCCATGAGTTTAGTACTGCATTTCGTAGCCCCTCGGACATTAATCAGCACCGTGTGTGACTGAATGAGTTAATCTTCTAACAATCTCACCAGCCTGTAAGATTCATCTGCTCCTCCGAACTATACACGTTCTCCCACAAGGCACCGTCTGCCTTATCGTGCATCAGTATTTCACCAAGCTGTGCAGAGCCAGCAAGTTGGTCCGCCTGTTCATTTCCCAACACACCGGCGTATCCCGGGAAAAAATCAAGACAATACTCCTCACCTGTGTCCTCCGCAGTGAAGCATGCCACTCTGCACGAAGCATACCTGTCCTGACCTTCCTCATCATGCTTTCTAAGTCAGTTACAATCACAATGTGTGTGTGTGTGTTTGTGTGTGTGTGTGTGTGTGTATTTGGTGTTCTCTAACCAGCGGAAAGCTGCAGTGACCGTCTCCACCTCCATTCTTAAGCTTGATGTTGTGGTATCATATACTATGCTCTCCTGCACCAAACATCGACCGTTAACTTTTGCTTAGACAGCATGACCGTTTGACCCCTAAAACAGAGGCCTAACAAGAC